ACTAGTCTTGTTGCGCCTATCTATTGGTCTCGTGCCAGCCGCTGAAAACCCTCAAGGTTTCGCGTTTAGGCTTTCGTGCTTTCTCCGCCACTGGGTCGGCGGACTGAGCCGGAGGCTCTTAAGTTTCTGTTGTATTAATATTGTGATTATTCCTCCAGTCGTTGAGACGTGAAGTGGCTCAAAGTAAAGCAGGTTCAATTGTGGCGTTCCGCATTAACTTGGGCACAAATTCATGCTGTGGCTAACTTTGAAATTAGGACTATACTATAACTCTCGTACGACTGTCATGAAGTCCTGATCCAATTTTAGGGGTTGGAGCTGTCAGAATCTTATCAAATCCCCTTCGTAAGCCGTAGTACCGGTTGCTGTTAAGGAACTTAACTTAAGCTACTATATTGGGGAAGCCATATTAACTATTATTTATATCCATGATGGTAAACCCAAACCCTTCACCCTATAAATACCCATTATGGTAACTCAGTTTAAGTTCCTTAACAGCAACCCAACTCAGGGTGGCGCCACGAAGGCCTGGCCTGGTCCGCGCGCCTCTGCTCTTTCACAAGCTCGGAATCCTCCAGTGAAGTAGAAGCAGAGCGGAAGGTTCCAAAAATTAGGTTTCGGGGGGTAGGGGGGAAAATAGTGGACATATTGGGGGTATATTGGGAGAATGGATAAGAAAACGGAGACTACTATTGAGGGTTTAGGGTTTAGGAATTTTCCTATGCTATGATAAGGACCCCGATTTTTTGCGGGCGGGGTTGGCAAGGGCTTCCTCAATTTCCACCAACAGTAGCTCCTGCTTGTGGTCAGCGACTGCTACTGTGCTAAATGTTCACACTTCATCGCAAGACACCTAAAGGCTTCACAGACACATGTGGCGCAGAGAAAAGACAAGCCGAAACTTAAGGCGAAAAACGGACCACCACGCATTACAGTCCCCTCCCCCAGGACACAACCACCCTCGCTCACAATAAAAATTCCCAGAATGAGCATACTGGTATGTTCGTGCGCATGTGCGTGTATATGTGTATATACATGTACATACATGCATGTGTACACGTCTCCGCGCCGTACCATGTTTGGAATATGTCAGGGGGGCGCTTTCATTGTTAGGAGAAGATGACTGAGGGCTCAACACGGTCCTCTTGACCTGCAGTCACGGACATGTCTGCAAGGTGAGTTTGCGATGCTTAATCCGCAAAAGCAATTCCTGCCACTCTCTGTGACTTGAGCCCTTGAATAACTTCGCATGCGGCCGCGCGGTGTCGACTGTAGAGGTCGTGTCTCTCTTCGTGGAGCGGTCCTGCGTTCTGCTTGTCCTCCTTGGCTGCTGACTTGGCTTCAGAGTCATCAAAGGCCTTTTGCTGCCGCATGATCTTGTCCAACCATCGCTTGCCCTTCCTCACCAGCTCGTCGTTCTTCAGAGCCTTGATGGCAGCGGTTCTCGCCACATCAGCCTCACTGACGCCAATCCGCGTGTTGGTCATGACATGCTGGTGTGCGACCGCACGAGCTGCGGACTGGTCGTGCTTCTGCTCTCTTATCATCTTCTCCGTATGAAGTTTCAGGGATTCTTTCGTCGTAGTGGTTTGGGGCTGCAACTTGTGTTTCCATGAGAATCACTCAAAAAAAATATGTGTATATATATATATGTATCAAAAACATGGCAAAAATCTGCCAGTTCGGCAAAAACATGTTTATTGTCCGTGTTGAGCTGAATTTTCTGTGTGTTTGTCATGTCCTGTAATGGCCTCATTGTTTTGATGTCAGCTCGTGGGCACATGGCTGACGTTGTTTCGATTTTGGTGCTTCATCGTGCCCTGCCCAGCATGTTTGAGCCAAGTGGTTTGAACCAAATGGTTTGAATGCTTAGCATTCAAGGATGTGTTTTGGGTTTAGGGCTTAGGGTTTAGGTCTAGGGTTTGGGGGTAGGGTCTGGACCCCAAACACTACCTAAATTTTAGTCAATAAGCTAAACCCTATAAACCCTAAACCCTTCACTGGAGCCAGCACGCCAGGACAGTTTTTTGAAAGCTGGACCCCAAACACTATTTTCAAAACAATAAACATCAATAAACTAAACCCTAAACCCTTAATCACAGCCATCACGCCATGACAGCGTTTTGACATCTGGACCCAGAACACTAAAATATGAACACTGGAATAAACCCCAAAACCTTACTCACAGCCAGCACGCCGGGACAGATTTTTGACAGCCCAGGCTTGGTCTAGGACCTAAACCCGAATCCTCAAATACTAAACCCTAAACCTAAACCCCCTTTAGACCATATTGGCTGCCACACGCGGTTCCCAGGCCCACGCGCGCAAAAATCAAAGGTTAGAGAAAAACAAAGGAAAACAAGAGAGATCTGAAAGAAGTTGCTTCGTTTTTGGATTTTCCTCTCAGAAATGGAATGCGTGGGCCCAAAAGACCCGCGCACGAAAACGCACTAAACTCCTCTCCCGAAGAAGCTCGAACAAAACATACCCGAAAGCCTCCTGGAACCAAAGATTGCTCTACAAAACAATGCTCCCAGCAGACGCTGATTCTGTTTAATACCCGAAAACGAACCAAAACACAAACCCAAAAAAAAAGAAAATACTACGCGAAACTTACTACTCCTCCGCCTCATCTTCGAGAAGTTGCACTCTCTTGTGCACAGCTGCCCACGCGATGTCGCGAAGGGACCTGGAGCGCTGCGTGTGCTGAGGACGCGGAGCAATGGGCACTGCAGCTGCTGCAGCTGGAAGATGCTGAGCAGGAAGTGTGACCTCACCTCATCTCAAGGCTACAGAAAAATCAGCACACGTCCACACAAGCCCTTCATGTACAAACGTGCGGCAGGGCTGAGGCCAAGAAAATCCCTTCTAGCTCTGATTCGCTTAATCCCGGTTCTTTCTAAGAGATCGCCAAGGGGCGCTCTGCATCGACTGCAACCTTCCTGGGCACAAGCATGGCCGGGGCTGTCACTTGGGGCCTGCTTGGCAAAGCAACAGGCAAATGCTCGGCTGCTTGCTTGTACAGCTCGGCTACGGCCTCCCGCCCCTCAGCAACAGCTTGCGCAGTTGCTGGTGCTTTCTGTGCGGGGGCTTTTGCTGGGGGCTTCGCTGGCGCATGGGCCTCTGCTGGGGCGGGGGTCACACGGCGCACACTGATGGGCGCATTCGTGGTAGCAACGCG